CACAGATTAAGTAGCAAAGCAGATGATGACTGACTGATTACCTTGTTTACTGACAGCATACTTGGTTCAGAATCAGCATCCTCTTGTTTGGGGTTTTATCCGAAGATGTGAGGAGAGATGCAGCACAGAAAGACCGAGCTAAGTTTGGGGTCATTGCTGCAAAAAAGCCTGTAATAACTTGTAAAGTTTTACACTTATTATTCTGCTCTTTTGTTGAATCATATTGTTTCCTCCTGGGATAATTTCAAAAGTAGCAGTGGGAGATGTACAGTAGATATTTGCAAGTGTACAGTAAACATTATGATATGCTCTTGGGTTTTCTTTGAAATACTGTGCCAATTAGCTTGAAGTTAGTATTTAATAGCTACTGCACAAAGGTAGCTGCAAGAGTATGTTATGATTCCTGACAATAATCAGATAATGTTGGATTGCATGGAACCTGTGTAAACGTATTCATTGAAGTAAGGCTTTATACAGGTTTTTGGCCTAAGTCAGATTTTGTGTAAAGGTTGTCGGTGTTTTAATATATCCTAATTTCAATTTGAGTCCCCATCTCCGATCTGTCGGCCTTCACACCTTCAGACCTTCGTTTCCCTGTGATAATTTACCTGAAACTTCTCATTAATTAACTTGTCATTCCCTTCTACGCTCTCATATTGTATGGTCTTCGCAAGTTCAACTCCATATCTTTACATTTTTATTTTGTTGTTGTTGTATCATTGCATGCTTTCATCGTCTACTTCCTTCACGATGCTGTCATCAATCATGTGATGGTATTTTCTGGTCTTTGTTTCTTCAATATGATTTCTTGATGAGTCTCACTGTCAGGGTTTACTGGAGATTTTGGAAGCAACTACAGCAGAACGTGGGCGTGTTCTGCAGTTGTGAATGGCCCCTCTGCTCTGTATCTGTGAGGCACAAGGAGCATGTTAATAATTCAGTGCTGTGCCATGTAGCTCAGAGTTGGTTAATGAACACGGGGAGGAATCTCCCAGGCATATTGCTTTGATGTGGGCTATAGTGTGAACGCTGTGTGACATAGTGCGGGGGGAAAGAGGAAGTTCGGGACAAAACAAGTCAATGGCGGATATATTATAGTTAAAAATGCTGTGGTGGGCGGTCTTGTAGGCTCTCAAAGATAAGTTAAATTACAGATGGGAGGAGACTCTCTCTTTATCCTGTCCTAGGAGAGACATTTATGTTTCTTGGTGCTGTGATGCTGAACAAGCACCTTTTTTAACAGTTGCAGTATCCTTTTACTGATCATGTCTATAGTAACACAAAGAGCAGACCTCATCTTATCAGCCAGGTTTCTCTCCTAGTAGATGACATCTGTGCTGTCGTCACTTTCCCGCACCTAAACTAGAGGGATGGGTTGTAGATAAACACAATTGTATCACTGAGTATGGTTAAAATTTATAATATAATATGGGTCATGGCTCAGACGTATTGATTACTCTGTACACCCCCACATTTTAAAGACAGAATTGGTAACCAGCTTTTAAAATAATCAATAGTTGGGGCAGACAATATGATTGTTTTTTCTTTTTAAATGGTATATGTAGTGTGTGTGTGTGTGTGTGTGTGTGTGTGTGTGTGTGTGTGTGTGTGTGTGTGTGTGTGTGTGTGTGTGTGTGTGTGTGTGTGTGTGTGTGTGTGTGTGTGTGTGTGTGTGTGTGTGTGTGTGTGTGTGTGTGTGTGTGTGTGTGTGTGTAGTACATTTTATTGAGAATCATTTTATAGATAAAAGAACTTGGCATTTTTGGATTTCTGATTTTGGCAAATCAGTAAATATCTGACTAATCAAGTTGCCTCATCACATAAAACCTGCAATAACACTTTTTTTTTTTTTTTTTATCTATCTACTTGAGGAAATCAGGTTGTGAACACAACGTTGACATATTATCACATTTTAAGTTGATGTGGCATTCGTGCCGGAATACAGTTGCTTATTTGCACAGCCAGCATTGACGCAGCAACACCAGCTTTCATATTCACTTTCTTTTTTCCTTTCAGTGCTGAGCAGGTAGTGTACAGTGGGTTCTTATACCTAACCACAACCACCTAACCAACCCTTCTGTGGCCAAAAATGATGCTATGTGAACCAAAACAGTGAAGTTACGAACGGACAGCTAAACGATGAGCTGAGACCCACCATTTAAAGCTCTGATACATTATTATAAAAATATTGATAATAGCTCCAGAATTACTTCACGCAGTTCTACACGTTGATATTTTGATTCAATGGTCTCACACAGCAAGAGATATTATTATATAAGTGATGGTTACAAAAGTATAGCAACATCTCTGATTGACTAATTTCTTTTGTCTCCTGATATATTTTGTCATATTGCCAAATTCAAATCAGGAAATAGTGTAATTTAGTATTAAAAAATAACCATTAGTTGCAGCCTTGATGCATACAGACTGATACCATGTCGCAGTGTATGTGTGAAAAGGATGTTTGTGGCTCCCCAGCACACAGAGCCATCTCCAGTTCTGGTGTGATTTCCTATCAGAGACTGCAGAGGCTCTGGGGGCTTTCAGCTCAGACCTTTTCCATCTTGCCTTAACACAATTGCATCTCTTCACTGCCACCCACAACTCAATCCCTCTCAAATGCCCACCAGTCCTTCTCTGAGACTGCAGCAGAGGTGCAGGATGAAAACCATTTGAAAAGAGGCCTCTCCCAGCAGAGGTCCCGTTGGCATGGAAACGGCTGTCTTTGTGAATGGAGGCTTCTCTTACACGCCCGGTCAGAGGTTTCCCACTGTCTCATGGTCCGAGAGGACCCTGTCAGACGTCCATACAAGTTACAATTTAACCAAACCTGGGTTTATATAATACACTTTGTTGTTCTCTACAGGTTCTTAACTGTAGATTGTGGATAAGATTGTGAGACTGCAGGTCTTTCGTTTAGTTCCCACATATGTGAATACTATAGTGCTCTCATTCATCTGCTGGTCACACTGAATATAGGGACATTCAAAAGATTGCTGGATCAAGTTTGTTTCTCAGTGTAATCAGTAGAAACTCACAGGATTTCTCTGAACTGGTTCAATAGCATGGTGGGATTGATTTAAAAAAAAAAAAAATCAGATTATTGATTAATTTTCCCATATTTCACCAAATGCTGTGTGAAAATAATCATTTCAGCTCATCACAATTAGTGCTGTGCCTTCTTAGTTGATTGGTCGACTAATATGTGGGTTTTCCAGCTAAATAAGCTTTTGCCCATTACTGAAAAATGCCATGTGTCTTTAATTACCACTGGAGTTTAAGAGATTTTTACGAGTGCATTGATTTGTGGGTGGACAATCATACAGAAGGCTCTGTAATTAACAGCCTGCTGGGTGAAGCGATATTGAAGAAATGTGGACTACATTAGGATTACATTTGCTATTAATATAATGAATTAAAATATAAAGAGTAATGTGCATCAAAAAACATTAATTGCCTTCAAAAAAGCACTTTGAGCCCAATCACTTACTTGATTATCCAAATATTGCAGTTGACCTACATGCCACTACAAAGTCAAATGTTGAATAGCTACCAATTAGTAATTAGCTGGCATTTCATCAGCCCAAAAGGGGCCAGGAAGGATAAACCTACTAATGATCGAGGTAGATCGGTCAGTTTAAAAGGAATGAAAACACGAGTTCTTTTTAGTTTCAACAAACACTTTATTATAGTAACACACATGATTAGAGTTGCAGTACTCTGTGGACAAGGACAGAGAACCACTGACCTAATTATTCATTTCCAAGTTCAGTTTCATCAAAAAAAAAAAAGCCAAGGTCGGTGCAGCATCCTGTCCTCGTCTTTTCCCTGCCACGCAGGTGTTTACAGTTGGCACACGCTCTTCACTGTCCTCCATACTGAGACCAGAAATTATGATTTTAAAGTGTGATTGTACTGTTTGGAATAATAATAATGTCTCTCATGAATGTGCACCTTTTTTTTATGGTTGAATTTTGCCCTGATAATATCCAGTTTCAGCATGGCCAAACTAACTTAACCATTGGTGGCAATTAAGTCTAAAACATTGTAATTTTAGTCTTATTAGTCTCTTTGAGGATTCAATACTTTTCACGAACTGGAAAATCTTTGAGGTCACTTCAGGCTACAGTTTGCCAACCTAGAAACTGCCTAGAAATCATCTAATTCTTGAAGTTATTTAGATCACAGTTCTTTGGCCCACATTTTCTTTCTTCTGGATTAATTATTTACTGTTTATCAAAATTAAAGTGGGTTGGGTCACACTTACTGTAGCTCTAAAATGCATCTGGTGTGAATGGACAGCTTTAAGTAGACGTGAATGAATGCACTGATTTAGGGTCAGATTTCTCCGGCTCAATTTGACAGACAGAGTATGATAACGGATATTATGTTATGTTCTTTGTTCCATAAATTAAATATTTTACCCCGTTCCTCTTCAGATCGTTTTGGTGTGATAAAGAATTCGAGGCACTATAGGAATGTGTTGCATTGTCATGGTAGGATATCCTCCCTCAGACTCGACCTGGGTGGCTTTCCGCTGGGGATGCCAGCAGCTGGCGGCTCAGTTAAAGTGCCTTTAAGTCTATTAGAGAGGATAATCCTTGAGGGAGAGTTCAGTGAACAGAAGGAGTGGGCAAAACAGTCTGTCAATTCACTTTCCTCACTTTTGCCATGTGATTGTATCTCTTGTACGATCCCTCCGACGCAGGCAATCGTTTGCACACATGGCCACCATATGCTTTCTTCTTTGCTCCCTAAAAGAGGGCCTCTCTAAACAAGACATTAAAAATATAGAGAAACAATGACGTGTGCGTTGCTTGATGTCTCGGTCTTAGTTCTGCTCCAAACAAACGGGCTGTAAAAAAAATCTGTGAGTGTGTGTTTTTGACAAGATTAATGTTAACAGGGATGTTTTGTTTCTTTCTCTGCCGTTGAATGCCTCGTTTGTAATCCACAGTTGTTTTCTCACCTTTTGTTGCTTTTCTCTACATTTTCTCTAGCCTCCCACCTTCCACCTTCACTGCCCCTGGCTCGGTTGGTGGCTCAGCATCACTTCAAAGAGGAAGGTCTGCAGAGCTGCAGATAACACACTGTACCCCCAAGCACCGGCAGGCTTTTCCAGAGCCCCTACGCAGTCCCTCGACCGACAGGTTTGGCCCTTCTATGTCTTGTAGGAAACTGTTTCTGCTGCTTTGCTGGTCTTTCTAGTGTGTCTTTCCCTCTAGTACCTTTCTTGCTGCAATTTCCATCGTTCTGGTGAGCCCCCAGGTTTAAATGTAAACTTAAATTGCATTGTCACCTCACAGCGTTTGTATGTACTGTTGGAACTTGAAAAGATGAAAGGATTTAATAACTTGTTGGTATTTTCTTAGGAGTATTTTGGCCTATCACACAGGAGTCTTTTTATTATGCAGGTGTTTTTAACCTTTTAACACGTTGTTTTGAACACTTTTAGTTATCAATAACATCATTATGTCATACCACAATAATCCTCTCTGAATGAGTTTTTGTGGTTTGGTTTTAACTTTTACATTTGAGTCACAGAGTGTGCATAATGTCATTAGTACTGACTGATCTGATATAGATCAGAAATTGCTTTCTTTTCTAAAATTGACTAATAATGCCTCTGTATTAGAGATCCTGCATATGCCACAACTTAAAAAAAAATGCTTTTCTGAATTATTTGACTTGTTTTAAAGGCTATAGTGTATTTTACTGGAATCAGGGATTGATTACATCTTGTCTTACCCTCGGCATGCCTCTGTGAATCATCACATAGGCATTATAAAGCTACAGTAGTGGTGTGAATTGTTCACTTCAAAGTAATTTACTTCAATTCATGACCCTGTGGTTGGCAGCCAAACACTAAATAAATGTAATACAAATGCAACACTACTCTTTTACAAGTTAAAAAAGAAATAGAAGTACGCTTTAAACTTGCCTAAAAACCAAGAAATTGTAATATCTTGTACTGGCCAATTTGATTTATTGGTGGATTTGTGCGTGTGCGTGTGTGTGTGCGCGCTCAATCCCCACAAATGTTATGGAAGACAACGGATGACGGCTTTATGTTGGAGTACTTAAAGTATTTTGCTAATGCTCACCTCACAGTCATGGCATCTGTTGGCTTATCAGTGTTTCCATGGCAGCAGCACCTTACTGCCTAGGTTCCTCATGATTTCCTCTGGGATGAAACACCCCTTACTCGGCTCTCTGAGAACATCTTTGTCCGTCTGTGGATTTCTGTGGCACATACTCTCTAGTGGAAATACATGTTGTCCATGTAATGAGGTGCCAGATAAATCTTACCAAATGTACTATTAGTGTTTAATATAAAAAGTACCACCTGATCAGGGTTGGAAATTTGCACCCAACAAATGATTTTGTGTAGTGGCGAGTGAATTTCCTCAACCTACCAGCCACAGTGGCGTGTTTTGTTGTTGTTGTTGTTGTTGTGACATTTCTTAATGCAGATTGAATTGCATGAATAATAAGAGAGAAATCTGGGTGGGCCGGTCCCTCTGTGAGAAACTTGAGCAGCCCATTACATAAAAACAAGAGCGAGAGAGATGCGTTGTTGGCCCACTTTTATTATGCACCAGCCCACACCCTCCTCTCAGAGATCCTCAGTGAAGTTCAACAGTTAGTCGAGGTTTTGTAGCTGAAGCCGTAAGAAAGAAGACAATAGAGATACGATAAACAAGGTTTGGGTGGTTGACTATTTACCTGTATCGAGTGACTGATGTTTAACTTCTTATCAAGTTAATGCACTTGTCAATGTCACTTTACGTGAACTGACCAGTCACAGCCTGGTGGGAGTGGGACATGACAAAAAGCTGACGTGCTAGTTAACTTTGCATGAATGGTGATGATTATTACTTAGCATTGGCAAATTAAAGACTGACCACAATTGTTAGACCATTTTCTTTAAAAATATTAGTTGTGTATTTCTTAAACTGCTGTATTGTCCAAGTGGAAAATAATATTACAGCAGTGGTAGGTTTTATTTAATGTTATACTAATACACTAACTTATACTTACCCCTCAGCTTGTGGATAGTGCATCTGTAGTGGACAGATGGACATTTAGAGCCAGGATACCAGTGTCTTGATGCCAATATGTGCTCCATCTCCAGCCTCTTCCTAAGAGCAACACATTCCCCTGGTTCTATTTTACATAAATGTTACTAAAGTTATTGTTATCAATATGGTTCAGTAATCATGTTTAAGTGTGACGACATAAAGTCTTAATAGCGTAATGCTTGAATTGTAGGTTTCAATTTTTTTTTCACATTCATTTACAAGAAAATAGCTGGTAAACAAAATGAATAGCTGGTAGAGTTTGAAATCCACCATTGACAAGTGGACAAAAGACATTTCCAACCCTGCACCTGATGTCATGTAGAGAGAATGAGTATTAGGAAAGAATGTATGAACAGTGTGTGCAACGTCTAATAATAAGCTCCACTAAACTGTTGGACTAGTTCTTGGCGTCACAGGAAAAGGAAAGGATCATATCAGGAGTCCACGTGCTGAACAAATGATTACTCACCTTTTGAAAACATTCAAGTGATATATAATATGTCTTTGTTATTCTCTGCCAATAGACACACATTGCGGTATGCCTCTCCATGCAAATTGATTGTTCACCCTTTAATTTAAACATAAAAGATTGGAATAATATGTTTTTTAGACCTGCTTTTTATCTTGCTATGTGATGAAATGTTATATTTACATACCGATTACTCACTGACTCATTATTTGTAGCTCCTGGAACAAGTACAGTTAAATATTTACAATAAACTAGCTTCCAATGCAATAACATGGGTAGCATTAGAAGTAATTATAACTTTGGTCAATTACACAGCACATGTAACTGAAAGGAAAGGTCACATTTATTAATTCATACAGAGAAAGCAGACTTCAGGCTTTCACTAGGATCGTGGCTTTTTTTCCTTTTTACTGTGTAACAGTGTAGTTTATTTATAGTATAACATCGATGCAAAGACGGCAGCGCAATTGATTATGTCATTGTCATCGTCACCACTTATCTACCATGATCAGTCACCGTCACCATTGCTGTCGTCCCTGTTATTCATAAAAAACTAAAGATGGTGCCTCTTCAACTTGTGATGAAAAGGATGAGAGCGATGTCTGCAAAAGATTGAAATGAATGAATGAGAAATAATAACATTAATCAAGGCTGAATCAACACTCTGAGACAAACATGTATGATCTTTCTCTTTCATTAATTCTGCCTCCTCTCATTAGTTTCTGTTTTCCTTTGTGATGCTCTGCATGGAGGAAATGTGAGCTAGTTTGCTGCAGATGTATAGTTAGTTTTTTTCGTGAACTACTGAGACTCACAGCTGCATGATTTTGATTGTCAGGTCTCAGTTGTGTGGTGTAGAAAGCTCCTGGAATTGGAGGAAGAAGCCGTTGAGAAGGTGGGGTCGAAGAGGAAATGAGGCTGCATTCCAGCAGTGATTTATGAAGTGTCTTTCATTCTCTCTGTACTCTGTAGTTTGCAGCTGCTCCAGACAGCTCCCTGACTGTAGTAAAGCTGGACCAATCCCAGCATAGATATTGAAAGGAAGTCAGGAGTTGCCATATAAGCAAAGTTGATACTGCGAGGTAAGCTAAGTCATTAGCATTGCTAATTTGAAGATTCACCTGCAGCTCTAGAGTTTTTCTTTTTTTTTGTTAAAAATCCCTTCACTCTTTGCCAATACATCATCTCTGTGTAACTTCAGGCAGAAGCTTGCATACGCCCTTGTCAGCCCCATTTTGAGGTTTTTATTCATTGAGGAATAATCCTGAATAAAGCTCTCCTGTGGACCACAGAACTTGGAACAAAAACTAAATGCTCACAAACTACAGAATGAGTCACGTCTTAATGTGACTAGACGAGGCCTGTTTTATCATTAATCTGTAAGAGACTCGAGCACTGCCTGTGTGAGAACAAGCTAACCAGACTGGGCTTGAAGTTCACACCTGCAACAGGAATTGAAGATCTTGTTAAACTCCTGTGGGTTGTTTGACTTTGTTAGAATAACAGTCTAATCTACAATATACAATATGTTTGGTATATTGTGATTGCAATGGAAACTGTTGAGTGACCTAAAATTGGGTTAGCCACTCCAAATATTTAGCATTCACCAATCAGATAATTAGGCATTTCAGTAATAACGTTGATGGGCTGTTCTTTGCTCTATTTTTACGTTTCATTGTACGGAATGAAATCAAAACAATTAAGGTTACTCTGACTTCTCCAACTGTACCTTTTTTTCTTTTCCACATTACTCATGTTTCAAATGTTATGTAGAGTTTAGCCAAAATTTCCAAAAGAAAGGGACAATTATTCTGAAGAGGGCCCTAATGCAGTCATCAAGAGTCCTACTATGCTTGGATCACTTAGGTCATTTTAGTATTTCTTTGCAGATCTAAGTTATCTTTGTTATGTAACTTTTGTAGTTTATTTGCTATGCTATTTGCTGTTTAATTTGGTTATGTGAAAGAATGAAGAAAAAAGGACGTCAAGTAGGTTTAATGCTGACGCAGACTATGGAACAAAGTGTATATCACTTCTGTGTCTTCTAAATTAATGCATACACAAGTGCATTTACATCTTGCTTACAATTTGTCTTCCCTATACAAAGTTCACAAATTCTGGATGAGAGCAATGAATTTGTTCACTGAAGAAAGTTGCATAACTCAGTGCTTCTCTCATATTTTGACCAGAGTTACTCAGACTGAACTGAGGCCAGGAAACACGGCAGTTGCATTCCTCCATGAGGATTTTATTTGGCACATCCAGACACAGCTGACCCAGACTGACAGCACTGTTGCATGCGTCCATAACCTCTGTGCCTGCCTCACTCAAAGGTCTCTGGGAAACATTCACAATTTTTCCTAGAAAGCCCTGGGTTATCCCCTTGAAATAGGGGGTTAAAAGGTGACCTCTTTTGTTTCTGAACAACACAGGAGTTGGCTAACATGTAGCCTGCAGAGTGGGTGAAACAGAAGCAGCAGCCCTTTGTGTCCATATTAAGGAGACAGAGAGCGGTTTTTGAGACTCTCTCAGGAGAACTCTCACTCGTATAGACCCATATATAATAATAGAGCGTATACTTTGTACTCTACTCTTGAGTCCAAGTGACTCTGGCTTAGTTCTAATTCTTCTATTCGTCTTGGAAGCATTATTTTTTGGCATTTTGCCATTATCAGATGGTGAAAGAATAGATACAGACAGGAAACACAAGGAGAGAGAGAGAGAAAGGTACTACATGCAGTAGAAGTCCCTGTCTGGAATTGAACTGGGGACACTAGGGCCACGTGGCATGCATCTCAACTACGGTTGCCTCTAAAAACTCAATGATTCGAGTCACCAGTCAAGAAGTACCTGAGTCGACTCACATTTTGTCAGTCAAATGTTTTATGTGCGTCATTGTACACAGAGCGACAGCATGGCAGGCTGTAAACTTTACAAACCTCAAAATGACCACAAAACCAACTGTGATGAAAGCAGAGAAGAGTTATAGTTAATGGAGGGCAAGGCGACGCCGGGCAGCGGCTGCTCCGATGTGTGAAGTCGACTGAATCACTTTTGAACCACACAGTGGTTCAACCTCTGCTGTCGTCCACTGTGACTGTCAGGAAAGACGTACTGTGGTGGGCTGGGATTTTGTAACTGAACTATCCACACTTAAGTCTCAGTTATCTCAGCCACCAGGCCTCCAGGTTTTGTGAATTTGTGTGGCTAGCAGTTGTGTTTCATTGGTTGTACCCATGAGCTATGAACTTTTGGTGATATGAGCTGTATGGGTATGGACGATGCATTAATTATAGTTGCTACCTTGGACGAGCCAGGCATGTTTTAATGGATTACTATTGACTAAATTGAGCCAATCAAAATCTGATCCTATCTTTACTGAACTTGTTGTCCTCTGTCCACCTCAGCTTTCTAGTGTTGCATTGCCGATGCCCAGTTTAATGTTATTTGAGTGTATAAAATACACATTTAGTCAAGTGTCCGCTCTGACTCGGTATCGACAGATATTCAATATTAAGGACTCAGATTGGGATTGCAACACAAAGACTTGATCAGGATTCCCCTAGAAAATACAGCCATACAAAATACGTCATTTGGATATTCATGTCTTCTTTCATAACACCAAAGAATATGAAAATATTTATCTCCAAGTTTTATTGTTTCTCACTGAATCTGCCTTTCTGCACTTGTGTATAAAAATGATCTTGTCATTGGCAGTCTATAACCCCTCACCACATCAAGATAACATCCACTAGTTGCTTAATGCAACATCATAAAAAAATTACAAAGTGCTCAGTTCAGCACTTCATTGCAAATAAAATAATCCTGAATTGTGAGGATGTCAGTCCGTCTTTCTTTCTGTCTCACGGTTATCAAATGTCAAACAGCTGGATAGCCTGTCTAGGCATCTGCTCATTTCCCAGAACTCGATGTCCATATCCAGTTTTGTTTACGTCAACTTAGAAATCCTATTCTCTTTACACAAGCCAGCTCCTTGGCGCTGCTGGGGAGTCTAGTGGGCCTAATTATGTTTGTAGGCAGCTGCTCAAAACCAGCAGCTCCTTTTCTCATATTAGAACACCTTTATCTATGTTTTGACCTGTTGTCGAGCAAATTATACCCTAGGGTACGTGAATAAGCTATGCACTATTGGACGATTCGTGGGATGTTAAAGACCGACATATGGATTGGGTTAGAAGGATCACAGGGACTCTGAGACAGGGGTTTCTACCAGTATAGAGTAACTCATGATGGTATCCAGGTGACTGGTGTTTCTAGTTTAAAGTGAACTACTGGAATTAGATTTATTTTTTGCTAAAAAAAGGACATAATTTTATCCTTTTTGTGTTTTTTCAATGGGCTCTTATTTGGTCACAATTGTAATATGAGAAGAGATTTTAAGATTTATGAACTTTTCTGCAGTGATCACACTCCCCACATTGGTGTTATTCAAATTCCTCCAATACTGCCTAAAATACGGTATTGTATTTCGACAAGTATGTGTGTCTGTGCACCGATCTGATACTACGTAATTTATTAGCATCAATACAGAAGCCTACCACTTCGTAGCAGTTTGGCTTTTTTTCCCCCTCAGGATAGTCGTGACCCACCGTACTCTGAGTCTGACAAAGGATTTAAGCCAGGCCATACAACAATGATAGCAATGATACAACATTTCTTAACACAGGTATTGTACCTGTACTCGCTTTCAGCCAACACACAAAATCCCAGAATCTGTATCGGGAAGGAAAAAGTGGTATCTGAGCATCTCTAGTGTTTTGAGGGGCACAAATATTTATATTCCTTACGATGTCTGTACTGTGGTGCAGTTAATTGGCTAAAGGGCCATTATTTTAAGCCATTGCGTAGTCGATCTGTGATTTGAGCAGTCAGTTACTCAGATGACTCCATACTCCATGCTGAGGTTACAGGACTACTTGTTGCCGCGAGTTTTGACAATTTGGTAATTTGCCATCATCACTACTGGACCCATGAAAAACAGAAATGTAACACTTGCTACACACCCACCCATTCTGTAACGCTACTGTACTGTTACTGTATTACCAACAACTCCCAACAGTGTGATACCTCTTCTCTCTAGCGAATCATGTCAGTTTCAGGAGTCACATTCTCCTACTTACACTCATATCATATGAATTATAGAAGCTTAAAAAACACAATAATGGCTTTGAATCAGGACCTCAGGATGAAGAAACTTGTGAAACGCAAAGTGTCAGTTTTAGTAGGCAGCAGCTGTCAATGTGTCAGATAACATCTTTAATTCCAAGTAGAATCAAATACTTACATTTAGGTAAATCTAATTATTTGATTGTATTTGAAAAGTTCAAATTTCAGTGATTTTTTTTTTTAACTTGCTGTTAGCTGTGCACTGGTCTGCCAGCAGCTGCCCCCTGTTCACTTCCCACCAGACGAGACAGAGGAAGAGCTGGCGCATCTGTGGTGGTGACTCACTCTTACACGCTGGTGCAGGTGTTGTATATTGGTTGTTCAATTGTTCTGTTGTAGATTTTGTTGGCAAACCTTTTGAAAAACTGGCGTGTTCTGTCTGGGTTTTGGAAAATACACTGTGAAATCCCACCATCCTTATCTCACTACTCTGGCCCGCCTGCTTTCTCCTCTCGTATTGCAAACAACCCCTTGGCCTGTTAACTCTTCGATGACCTTTGAGATTACTGCACTGACTGTTCCTTTTCTGTCTTTGTTCACAGAAAGAATCAGCTCTTAGAGTGGGACCTGGAGTGGAGAAGACCAATTGTGGCCTGAACAAAGACAGACAGGGAGAACTGTAAGTAAACACTGCAACAGTGCAAGCATCTCAGAGGCTGTGTGTGTAACTTCTGCTCAATGCAGTGCTTATCGTATAGGTTTACACATAGGAATAGTGAGATTTGTTGTTGTTTTCAAATGGACCAGAGTGCTCATGTGTTTTTTTTTTTTTTTTTTTTTAGTAGATGATAAAGAAACTGCCTCTTCTTGGTGGATCTTAGTGTTTCTGAATCTAAAAAGGTTGGGATGAAAGTATAAAACAGACGGCAGGAAATATCTTGCATATTTAACCATTTATTAGGCTCCTTGCGATCGTGTTTGTATTCAATATATCTCTCTATGTGTCTGTGAACAGCAGTTTGCTCCCAGGCTTTGTTTTCAGCAAACAAAACCTGGAAATGATGAAAAGTAGCCTGGCAAATATCCAAGTAGGCTAGTACTTCTTGCTAACGCCAAGACCATTTTACAGTTGCACTGAAACGTTGTTTTGAACGTTGACAAAAATAAACAGGTTCAAGTTTATGTCATGTTGGTGTTTCTTGTCAACAGCTGATGGGGATGTAAGCTTGAACCCAGTTGTTTCCTAGCAACACATCCCCCATGTAAGGGTCTGTTATCAAGTAAAATCATTCCCCCTCCAGTTTTCTCAGCCTATTGGAAACACTAGTTGTAGTAATACTGAATTCATTACATACTAAACTTCATTACAAAGGGCTTTACAGTAATGGATCAAAATGATTGCAAGCTATGTGATCTCACAAAGGCTCTTTCTTGTATGGTCTTGTTTTTTTTTTAATTTTTTTTGGGGGGGGGTTTCATGTCTTTATTTAGATAGTGACAGCCTTTAAAGATAGACAGGAAACAGGGAAGAGAGAGAGGGAGAGAAGGGATGACATACAGCAAAGGGCTGTAGGCTGGAACCTAGACAAACAAGGACTCTGCCTTAGTACATGGGACACAAGCTCTACCAGGTGAGCTACCAGTTTATATTTGTAAGTAATGCAAAATGCACAACCACCGGTTATTTTAGATCAAAGGCTTGTTGTTTCAACTTTTACATCATGGGGCACAGCAGAAAAAATATGCTTTAACTCTGGAGCTACTACAACACATTTTTATAGAATAGTATCTAGTTCTAAAGGCTTGCTGTCACTATGGCTTCCCATCACAAGACCTTAGAGCCCAAAGCGACATCTTCAAATTGCTTGTTTTGTCCAGCCAACAGTCCACAACCCAAAGACATTAAGATGTTCAGTTTGCAGTGATATAAATCAGAAAAAAGCAAATCGATCATCCAGTTAGTTGCAGATTAGTTGTCTGTCGTGATTGAATAATTGTTTCAGCTTTACATGCGACATCATATTAACCTTAATATCTCAACCTCAGTATTATTCCTTGCTTATCTTTCCTTTATTGTGTAGTCCTCAGCCTTTTTGCTGTTGTTTTTAAATAGCTGTGTTTTTATTTTATGAGAGAAAGTGAAACCATAGTGTTACAAAAGCCTTAAATGTCTGACATGTTTCACATCAGGGTGCGTAGCCCACATTAGCTCCCTTAGTCAGGATGTGTAAACCATGTGTCATCTAATGAAGCGAAAAAAAGTGCCACAGAGATCAAGGAGGACAAGAAAATGATCACTACAGTGGATGTACGGAAGGCCCCACCCTGTGTTTCATTGTCAGCGTCTCAGGCAGGATGCAGACCTTTCACACTTGCGCACGAGACACAGTGGAAGTTGTTGGGGTTGTTATGAACAAACAGGAGGTGAATTAACTCAGAGGCATCCTATGTGTGTGTGATGGTCTTTTGTGGTAGTGTGTGTTTGTGTGTGTGGAAGCAAGGAGCTGAAAAGGCACACAAAATATAATAAGTAGTAGCCTTTTTTCTTTGTTTAAATAGCTTTGTTTTTTGTTGTATTTTTATGCTTTTTGTCTAAGATACATTTGGCTCATTTGACATTTTGCAAACCATGTATTATATATTGACAAACTCTAGTTATCACATGTGTTTTTCTGTAAGATAAACTTAGGCACAGTAATATTTTGGTAAGGTCAGGTTGCAAATGATCATTATTGTGTACCTTGAGGTTGATGCATTTGTGGTTGTCGACAATGACGGCGCGGCCAAAGGCATACAGTTAATGTGTTTATGCTGTACTCAGTGCTCATTGCTATAAGTGGGATTCTTCTTTAAAGCCACGTGTGTGGTGCAAGTCTTGAATTATTCATCCCAGGCACGCGCGGGTGGATTAAAGGTAAAGTGATAGCACATAGCAGTGCCTTTCTTGGCTTGCTGCTGCATTTTTAAAGTGTGGACTGGCACTCAAATGTCAAAATGTTAACATTGTCTCCCCCTAAAACTATTACCCTGGTCTCAAGGACCAGATAAAGGAAATTTGATATGAAGTTTGAATAATTCAGGATGATGGTCTGGGATTGAATTTTCATCCAAGTGCAACTCCTCCTATTTGTATCCCAGTGTTATCTCCTTGTGCTCGAGACTTGAAAGGTATGATTGATGCATTTGTTGCAAACAATAGAGAGAAATTACAAATAGTTCATCTTGAAAAAAAATCACTTTGATATTTGTTCAGTCATTGTATTGTTCATGCGTCTGCTTGTTACATTTGCCAGAAGACATATTGCTTGAACATGAAGGAACAGAATATAAGTGAATTCCAGGAAAAAGGTGACCGTGTCCTGCACAATCCCGGTGGGAAGAAGTGCACTGCTGTCATTTCCTATAAAGGTCCTTTTTCAAATTTGAATTTGAGACTGCTTCCTAAGCAGACAGTTGAAAGGGACTGAGATTTAGCCGTCCTTTGTGTCACTCCCTAATCAGTCCCACACCTCTCACCCACTCATTCTCTGTAAATAATTCAGAACAGCCTTTTTTGCCTTCTCCAGACAAGAACGTACACACAATTGATAATGGAGGATAGCTAGGGGCAGTAAAAATCGTTGCTGATGCACATTTCCTGGAAGTTTAAACAACTTTGACTACACTATTGTTTTAAATACGTGTTTATTGATGCAAATGACCACATAGGTAAAACAGAGTTTGTAACAGATGGAAACTATGTGAGGTGCCATATGTATCTTCTTTAAACAAATTGTCAAATCGTATACATCTAAAGAAGAACAGCTATTCTCAATGTAAGCCAAATGGGTCAGCATTTTAAAATAAGGCATGACAGTACGGACAGTAGGTCAGTACTGACTGCAGTCAGCCCTACTTGCTTCAGGCTCTGTAAATGTGGGTAAACAGTCGTGTATGGTTATGTGGACGTGTGGTGCACTTTTTAAAGACTTGGCTCGAGGAATGTCAACTTCATGATGATACAGAAGTTGAGTAGAAGTAACAGAGGCTTTATTTTATTTTTTTATGATTGTTTTTGTAGTTGAAAAGTGTAACTCAGTGCTGTATTAGGGATATTGGGCAGGGGGTCTGTAATCAAATCAACTGACTTTTTCATCCCTGTGCTCTGGGGCCTGCTCTATGTAAAACTAAGTGTAACAGGAAAAGATGGGTGTTTTTTGTTTTGTTGATGTGAGGATCTTTGTCATCCTTTCGAGGGGTGCGGTTAACACTTTCTCAGCCATTCATGGTTTGGAGATCCTGTTGAAAACAGGAAATATAACTTTGTTATTTTGTTGGGCAGACAGGAAGTTGTGACTTTACTACACCTTTTTGCTTTGGCCTGGTGCCAGAATTTGAGTCCTTAAGATGTTGAAATCTATCTTTATGTGCAATTTTGTGATGTTATATTATATGTGTTATTATATATATTGTGTTAAGACTCATTACAGCCCAGATTTAGCCTGTGGGAGTCGAGCTTGCTGACAAAATGAATATGCCAAGAAGTTCATGAATAGTCTCAAGTAGTGAGAAATAATTCACAATCTGCCTTTTCTTCGGTGACTGATGTTAGTTGCAGTCCTGCTTGAGTTTTCAGTCTTTGCCCACTAGAGTGCAGCCTACTCAGAGGAAAAGGTTGTCTACAAGCTCAGTCATATCTTCGTGGTCATGTTGAGGATTGACATTGGAGAGATGGCTTGCATATGACATGATACAGACAGACAGCGAAGGATCCACTCTTTGATACGCTCTCTGACTTCAGTAGCATTTTTCTGTTCAGTTTGTCAAAATTTGGGAGTTTCAGGATAATTGAGGACCTAATTTGCAAGCCCACTTAAATGTATCAACCACTAATTGGTTTGAAGAGATTAATGGCACCATGTTAGTTAACACACATTTGCCACTTGACTAAGTCCAAATCTTATTGTTCTGTCAAAGTGTGTTGCTCATCTCTTGGAGATTTAAATTCAATTCAATTCAATTTTATTTGTATAGCGCCAATTCATAACAGAAGTTATCTCAGGACACTTTTCAAATAGACATTATTTAAACACTACAGATTAGGTGAATAATTTACATTAGGGAAGTTCTGATATTAATGGTTTGGTTTGGGGAGTTTATAGACTCTAATCTTTGTCTGTTAGACATTGGTAACAGTCTACCTTAATGTCTCATTAGTGGCTTCACCAGTCTTCACAATAAATACTATAGATTTACTCAGCAGACAGCAGAAGCAGCACAATTGGCTTTATACTTTGAAGGGAATCATGACTTTAGGATGTTATTTTAAGGCTATAAAGGCGGTAAAAAGAAACAGGGATGTTACTGGCTTTTGAATGTGCTTGACACAGCGTTGGCATAATAGAAACAATTTGATCTTGTGACAAATCTCTATTGTCAAGAGATATATTTTGTGGTTTCTTTCTTCATCTTTCTTTCCTGGTTCAGCATAGGCTTTAAGCATATAAATACATCTATTTACATGCCGCAGAGAAAATAAATATTATAAAATGTGACTCAAACCAAATCAAATAATAACAGAATTCATTGGTAGTAGTAAAAAGTATGTTTTTTGTGACCTGTTTCAAGTAGTTAATGTCCCATACAGCTAGGTATACAGTTTAGTGATAAAGAGGAGCACTGTTATTGGACCCTCTGTAT